GTAGTTTATCATACACTTCCAGCTAAAAATTTGTAATTAAAATCTCAAAATTATCCTTTAAGACTGTTTGAATTGTTGCCTGGGTCAGTAATGGTCACTACAGAGGTCTTTGCTTTTGGATGAATCATAAAGTAAATAAAATAGGGTTTATGTAGAAAGCCAATTGCTACCTACACAAATCATCTGACTTTCTATTTCTTTGTTTTTATCCATGCTGTGTGATCTGGTTATTTTTAGGGCTTGTTATGAGAAATGTATGTGATCTAAACTATTTCTACAGTTCTACATATTTAAGTTTTTAGCTCTTTAAAATATTATAAATACCCCAACTCTTTTCCTATGTCTGCAAAGCAATAATCTTTCTGTTTGCTGAGGGGCTGAAGCATGATTGGCAACATTCAAAGCATGACTCAGAGCACCCTAACAGCAATGAAAGTTCTTAAACAGATGAGCTCCTTCAAGAGCAAAGCCTCTTTATTCCCAAACGGCCATCAGGAACCTTCACTAAGATTGCGAAGATCATATACAGTGTAGAAGCAACAGAATCAAAAGACCCACTCTACCAACAAAGTGTCATTTAAAACCCAGAACAGTTTTGCTGGACCTCAAGCCTTACTCTGAGTAATCTTATTTTAGTGTCAGGTAATCAATAAGGATGCAATAAATCTTTGGTGATGCTGAGAAAATAGAAAACCTACCTGCAGCGTATAGTATATGGGATGATGTGTGTGTGTGTGTGAGTGTGTGTGCGTGTGTGTGTGTGTGTGTGTGTGTATTTTTTGCCCGCCAGAGGCTATGTATGCTCACCAGAGACAGAGCTAGAAAGAGAGGAGAAGAAAGTACCTCTTGATGGGGCATGGTCATACTGCTATCCCTTCTCCACTTTCCCGTCCTGTCAGGAACTGGGGCATGCACACACGTGCACATAGTGTGTTTCTCAGGATTTGAACCAGTCATCCATGTGCATCTGACTCCATGACCACCAGGCTATGAGACTGGTTCTACATTTTAACTGCAATTTTTTTTTTTTGGAGAGGTTTTTGCTATATGGCGCATGAGTTTGCCAGAAAGAGAGAGAGAGAAAGAGAGACAGAAAGCAAGAAATCACCTTCCAGGGGGGTGGCCACACCACAATCCCTTCTCCTTCATTCTCCTCTTGGGATCTTGGGCATGCACGCACATGCATTCAGTGTGAGTTTAAGCCACCAGGTCCGGGACTCGAACCTGGTCAGCTACATGGAAGTCCAGCGACATAGCCATTCTGCCAACTGCTGGTCTCATTTTAACTACTACTTTTCAAAGTATGTTTTTAGAATAATCGCCACCACCAGTATGTATCGTCTTTAAAACGTAGCCAAGCTGTCACTAGGTATGAGAAAGTGCTGCCAAAGGTGTCTGTAAATTGCAAGTGGGTGGGCATTAGTAGGATTTGAGCTAAGTTTGTTCCATCTCTATGATGATGGGATTTTGAAACAGAATGTTACTAAATAGAATAAAATTACAATATGGTAGGGTTTTACTATCCCCTTTTCTTAGGAAAAATCTTTGTATGATTGCAAACCCCAGGACCGTTCAGAAATTATTCCCACGTTCAAAGCTATGTCTTCAGTTGCTTCATAGAACTGAAATCTCCAGTCATGATTTTCACCCAGACCCTGAAGAGCCCTGGATCCGGGTCATTACAGCCCCCACACTAGTAAATGGAAAGCTTAAGTGGAGCTGGACAATAGCCGAATTTGGGGAAATTTGCCCCTGTTATCCCTAGGGAAACTGAGACACAGAATCATCCTTAGGTATAGTTGTGGGGTGCCACATGCTATGAGAATAATACTTCATATATCATGATCCTGTCTATCTCTCTCACTCTCTCTCTCTTTTTTTTCTCATGCTCTCTCACATGCACACACACAAATAGCAAGTATTCCAAGATATTCATAGGAAAATGGCTCCTACTCTCCATTTTATGAATGAACTTGTAGTTTATAACCTATACAAAAGCAGGAAACTACCTGGAGAGTGAGTGGCATAAAAGCAATCATGTAAATGTATTCTATTTTTTTGCTTGGTTTTTAATTATAAAAAAAAATATGGTACATGTAAGTACACTACAATTCAATTCACTTAGCTGACAGCACTGTGTCACTGATATTAAGAGGCCTCTTAATGTCAATTTGAAGTATTCTAAATTGTCAAAGCCCTTGCAGTGATTAGATGGTCTTCCAATGAAAAACTACAGAGGATAGGTTAAAACCATGTATGAATTTCAAGATTATTCAAACAGATGGATCAGTCACTTATACTATTTAAATAAAGAAAGAACTTGCAAAACAAAGAAAAGAAAAGAGAGACTTGCTTTTTGTCAAAATGATAATTAGAAATTAAAACAAATTAAATACTTCATCCTTGAGTATGAGTAAAACATTATGCTCTTAGTTTTAATATTTATTAACTTTGCCACCTCATTAATTTCAGAAGCAATCAACAAAATGAAGACCGCTTTAATTTTGCTCAGCATTTTGGGAATGGCCTGTGCTTTCTCAGTAAGTTCTTTATTAAAAATCTATAGTTATTTTCATCTTTTTATGTAAAGGAAAGGATATGTAATAATTATTCTTTTAAACAGATGAAAAATTTGCATCGAAGAGCCAAATTAGAAGATTCTGAAGAAAATGGGGTAATTAATTTTAGCATTCTTCCTTGATCTGACTTTACTTACTGTAGATGTATTAAACATTAAATATGAATACATCATTTTTTATTTATGCAGGTCTTCAAGTACAGACCACGATATTATCTTTATAAGCATGCCTACTTTTATCCTCCTCTAAGACGATTTCCAGTTCAGGTAAGTACAAAACTTAATTTTTTGTTCTCACCCAGTAAATTTGAAAGAAATCTATTTTAGCTACAAAACACCTGAATTCAACTGTTACTGAAATTCAGCCATGACTTCTTACTACATAAAGTTTATTTTTAACATAGCAAAATAAAGTTTACTTCTAAATGCTATTATAAAGTAAAGCTACACAGAGTAAAATCATATGGGCCCAGTATAGAATGTATGATAAAATGCATACCGTGCACATTGAGTTCATATGTTTTAGCTAACTCACTTACAAAAGTGAACGATTTTATCAGTGGTTGACAATTAAGTCAATAATAAGGTCACTAATTGTCATATTATGGTTAATCCAATATTGTCATACAGCTATTTTACTTCAAACAATTCAGAGTTCCATGAAATAGTGGGAGGGAGGGATGACTTCATATATAGCAGAGATGATTTAAAACAAAAGCAAAAACCCAAAACCTTAGTAACCAATGGTAACTGCTGAAGATTTTCTAAGTCTCTGACCTGCTGAGGTCACTAGAACAATATGTCTTACATTGGAGAATGATGATATTGGAGTGTGGTTCACAAACTGCAGAGGAATGACAGAAATTCATGAAGTGCACCAAAAACTAGTGACAAAAACAAAAGCATCCCTACAATTGGTAAACAAAGAGGAAAGTAACTAAAACTAAAAATAAGACTTTCCATTGTTGAGCTACTTGTGAAGGGGCTCTTTGAAAACGAGAGGGTGTGCTGTTAATTTTAAACAGACAACAAGCCAAAATGGCACTATTTTTATTACCATGCAGTTTGGGTTCAGGATGCCAATTATGTGCCATTTGACCCAGGACTCCTGAGACACTAAAAGCAGTTGGGATGTTAAAAATGATGTCTCAGCACAGCGGCTTGGCATCGCATCTTACCATACGCTGGACTAGCCCATCTCTAACCCATACAATGATAGGAAATGATCATCTTAAAGTATTTCTAGCAGCATCATAATTACTGGGAATTTGTGTGACCACAGAAATGTGAGCATGAATGATACAAGAGTTGCGGGTTTTCAGAATTGTCTTTCTTTCTTTGGTTCACCTCAAGCCCATAAATAAGCAGTGCTCATTCTGAAAGTTTGCTTTGATCTCTTTCTCAAACTAAATGGAAATGATAACAAATGCAAGGTTCTGACTAGCCCCTCAACCTTTGTGAAATATTAGGTGCTCAGAAATACTCATTTCCACCTAGATCTTTTTTAGATTCATGAGTAGTCCAATTTAAGTTTCCATACTGAAATTGTATTAGAAGAAATACGTTTTCCTTATTGATAGGCCCAAAGTTCAGAGATTTTTAAGTAGACCCTTAGTTAACAATTTTTTCACAAATTACATACAGATCAGTTCATCTCAGATAATGTAGAATTTATTTTTGTTTTTGTTTTAATTTTGGCAGGGGGAAAAGGGAGTAGTGAAAAAGCACCCAGTATGTGGAATGGTCACATTACAATCTCTTCTTTATTTCTCCTTCCTTTTGAGAATTTAAGGATACACCCATCCATGTTCAAGGTGTTTTTCAAACCACTGGATCCAGAAATGGAACCACAGAGTTGGCTATGTGGGATCCAGCCTCCCTACTACATCATGAGCTGGCTTGAATTTGTAAGATAGGTATTTTAAAATAAAATTTAGGGGCCAGCAGATGGAGTGGTGGTTAAGGTGCTGGATTCCACATGGCAGACAACATGGATCTCACCAGACCCAGTGGCTTTAAAAACACTCTGGGTATGTATTCGTGTGTGCCCAAAATCTGGAGAGGAGAAGGGATTGTGGTGTGGCCATCCCACCCCCCAGGAGTGATTTCTCATTTTCTCTCTTTCTCTGTCTCTCTCTGGTGAGCACACACCCTACAGCAAAATTTAAAATAAATAAATAATAAAATTCAACAATTATCTGACCCGGTATTTATGATCTGTTCAAGTTTACAAAGTTTGATTTCTCTTAAGTATATTAAATTATTTAGTGCCCAGACTGTCACCCAAAAATGCATCAAGTTGCATTGACTTTGAAATATATGTTCACTCAAACAAGTCTAGGTTTATATGCAACTGGTTAGAAAATGCCAACTTATGACTCAGCTGCAGGGCCACACGCTGCAGACCCTGGGCTCTGCAGGCCACGACCACATGGGAGACCAGGGGAGGCCTAGCTGGAAGCCTGGGGCAGGAGGATCACAACCTGGCAAGATCCTTCTTTAAAATAAAAATAAATAAAATGCTGGCTTGCCTGAAATACATCATATGGATAGAGAAGCTATCGGCAATCTACTAAAACTTTATTTATCTGCTAGGCTACAGCAATGGAAGCACAAAGCAAAACATCCTATGCTGTTTCAATTGAGAAAAATATTGTGATTTGATTAGTGTGTGACCTCTTTTTCTTTTCTTTTCTTTTTTTTTTTTGGAGAGGTTTTCACTATAGGGCGCATGTGCTCACCAGACAGACAGAGAGAGACATAGAGACAGAAAGCGAGAAATCACCCCCCAGGGGGGATGGTCACACTGCAATCCCTTCTCCTCCATTCTCCTCTCAGGATCTTGGACATGCACGCACACGCACCCGGCGTGAGTTTTAAGCCACCAGGTCCGGGACATGAACCGCGGTTGACTACGTGGGAGTCCAATGACATAGCCATTACACTAACTGCTAGTTCCCCCAGTGTGTGACCTCTTATCAAGGACTTCATATTATTTTTTATTTTATTTTAAATAAGACTTTCCCAAGGGCTGATGTAAGAATTGTAGATTTTCAGAATTGTCTTCTATTTCAAGGGAGTTGATAGGACCAAATGACAAACTGGCAACCAGGCATAAATAGAACAGAAAAAAAGAAAGAAAGGCTTTAAGACATTTCATTCAGCTTTTAAATTGTTTTCACTATAGGTATTAATGGAAAAGTGAGTTAGGCTGACTTAGGGAGAAAGCTAGAGGTGAGGAAACATAGAAAATAACTGGAACACTCCCACTTAGAAAAACAGCTCCAATTGCATAAATATACTGTCCTCTATATTTAATTGAACAAATAGAAATAGTTCAAATAATATTCTGCTTTATTCACCCTCTGGACTAGGGAAGGCTCAACCATGAAGGTCATGGTGAAGAAGAGCTGGTATAATTATTCTCTTTTGCACCCAAAGTTATTCTTGGCTCAAGGGGACAGGCATTCCCTTTTCTTGGGTGGATGACGTGGCCATCTGAAGAATGAAGCCAACAAGGACAGCACTGGGTGGGATGGGGACATGAGTGTTTTCTCTCATCTGATTTCTTTTTCCTCTTTTTTAAGGGAAGCCAACAGATTTTTTTTTTAACTTTATTTATTTACTTATTTTAATTTGACCAGAGAGAGACAGAACAAGAGCAAGAGGGAAAGTAAGAAAGCAAGCTGCCAGGTCTGGGACTAGAACTGCGGTCAGCCATGTGGGAGTCCAGAGCCCTTAACCACCACACTACCTGCTGGCCCTTCTCTCATTTGATTTCTAACCCAGAGGTTGAGGTGCTTCTTCAGATATATTTTTGAAATGCAAGATACTTAACTAGGTCACCAGAATTAAGCTGAAATATGGAGGGCAGGAAAAGACAGAATCTTTTATTGGGTAGCCATTTGTACACATGGTGCCATTAGAGGTGTTGCAGAAAAGTAGAAAAATCTAGTTTGGTCATCACTGGGAAAAAAAATTTTAAAAATCTTCTCTATTATCTTGAAGGGTCTGCTAATAGATGTTTAGATTTACATTTCCTTTCCAAAAGTAGCAAAGCTCTTTAACTTATATTTTCAAACATATAATTCTTGGTATAATTTATTCCCATTCAATATTGAGCTCTTTAGAGAAATGGCAATCTATACATCTCCTACATGAATCAATTTTTCTTTAATATCTTTTATTTATATGTATAAATTAATGTTATTGGGGATTAGCTTTCATTAGATTGAAAGATACTAAAAAATATATGCAAATGTAATTCTTTTAACTCAAATTCTAATTTAAATATACCAGAAAGGTTCATTATTTAAGAGAATCATTCAGTAACAACTTATATTTTATACTAAGCTGTATCATCATTTATTTTATTTCTACCAAGAAAACAAAACAATATGATCTATGTCTTAGCCAAGATATGCCTTGAACTGGCTGGAGAAATCGTACCACTTTTAGGTTTCTGATTCCTCCTTTATAAAATGTAAAATTGAACCCGATAATTCTCTCATTCTTCGAGTTAGACAATTCTGTGATTGTTGGTCCAGTTTTCACATACAGAATGTTTCAATATATCATAAATGCTTTTGGGGTTGAAAATGAGGTATCCCAATTGGTACATTGCTCATCGGAAAAATGCCTGTTTCTAATTTTATTTCACGTATGCTTTATTTCTCATATATTTCTCACATTAGCATGAGATCTGCTCTCCGTAAATAAGTCAATCAAGATGGTGATATTGATTTATTTGAGCAAATGTGTGTGTGTGTGTTTTCTGTTAGTCCAATCAGCAGGGAATCTGAATTGCCGCTGCACACATGTATGCAAATGAGTACACACACACCCTCCTCTGCATGTTTTCTAGAGCAGTGACTCGTCAGAAGAAAACGGAGACGGTGATAGTTCTGAAGAGGAGGAGGAAGGAGAGGTAAGGAACTCTGCAGTCTTTTCATAACAAAGTAGGCAGCACAAATAACAAATGAAAACTTAGTCTACTACAGCCTAGACTTCGCAAATCGCCATTACTACCTGACCAACTGCTCACAGTCTTCTATTTTGAACAAGTGAGACTTTATTTAAATTAGAATAAATTAAAATGACCTGTTTAAAGTACGGCTGCAGTCTGTGGATAAAGTTACCTTTCATTGCTGCATAAAAACAGAAGTGTTTCTATTTTAAGTGAAGAAAGTAAAAAATATGATTGAAAGCAACAGAAAGTATTATTTGTATTTAGGTAGAGAGAGTGTGATGGTAGAAGACAAATAATCTTGAACTCAGGGCAATACTTATTTTAAGGAATGAAAAAAGTTTTTAAAGTTTTTGCTAAGGGGCGTGTGCACTTGCCAAAGAGAGACAGAGAGGGGGAAATTGAGAAATCACCCACCACCCAGGATGGCCATGCCATAATCCCTTCTCCTCCAGTCTCCTCTTGAGATTTTTGCACACATACCCTGCAACCAGTGTGATTTTTTCCAAACCTCCAGGTCTGGGACTCAAACCAGGGTTAGCCATGTGGGAGTCCAGTGCCCTAACCACTACACCACCTGCTGGCTCCAAGGAATGAACTTTTAAAATTCAATTTAATAAGTGGGTGGTATGTACAAGCTAATTTATATCCTCTACAGTCTTATTAGTGTAGTGTGTCACTGAATGAACAACCACCAAAGCCAGGTTAAGTTTAAAGGGAGTCTTTATTAGCTGGCCAGCAACTACAGCCTGAGGCTCAGGGGGTGCAGGGGGTGAGGGGACTGAGAGTCAGAACTGTAGCCCCGACCGAAGCTTGAGTAGTCTTTTTATAGGGGGTCAGTTACCAGGGGTTTCTATGCAAGCAGTTATGGAAGCTGAATCAAGCAGGTTAATTATTTCTGAGGGGAGTGGGGTTTCCATTGTAAGCAGTTACATTGCTAAACAAAAGGGTTTCAGGCTAGTTAGCAAAGACAGTAGCAGGTACAAGATGTCATCCTGGATATGGTTTTCTATATGGCTATCACAAGCTATTTTCTCATGGGAACAGCAAGCAGGTTTACAGAAGCAGACAGCCATGTTAGGGTAAGGGAACAAGATGGACAAACAGTTGTTCATGTGCAAGATCTAACATGCAGACTTCCGCATTAAGATTCATATACCTTTTGTAATCCAGAGTTGTTCTATTTAATAGGAATTCCATATTCTTTGTGTCTAATACTGTAACAAAATTCATGTTCTTACAGAAATATAAACTCGAGATGTATAAATATTCTCCTATAGGTGTACAAATTTGTGTAGTTCATAACTAAAATTCATCTACATTCTTGGAAATTGTGCTAACATATTTATAACTAACCCTCTTGCCTAAGGAAACATACCAATTAGGATGCACTTTCCTGGACAGTCAATTATAGCTATCCACTAGTTTGGGAATCAGGTATTCTTAGAGGCTATTTATGCACAGACAATGACAGTCCAAAATGAATCATGTATAAGTGTTAGCTATCTTGAAAACAAAATAGTGTGGGAACAAAATAAGTAGAATTTTCCATACCATCATTTACATTCTTAACTTAAAGAAAGGCCACTAAATCCCTTGACATTTTGCCTGAAGTTCCACCTAGCAATCTTACACAAGAACTAAGGATTATCCTCCTAACTACAACTATTTGCTATACAATGACTGTAAAATTGCCTTGCCAACTGAATTTCTAGTCATGACCCTGCCATTTATGAACTTCCAGCTATCTGACCACATACACATCATTTATCCCATTGGACCTCAGCTTTTTCACCTGTGAAAAGGTGACCCAACTATTGTATTCTGCTTCTCTAAGAATCTTGCCAAGGATGTTAATATTTATTTCTTCCTCTACCCCTGAAAGGTTTAGTCTATTGAAATAAAGCATAAACATTAATAAAAACAAAAATCCACCATAATGTTTGTGGGATATTTGACCCAACTATTTCAGCGACTGCTTTGGGGTGTACTCTGGGAGCATCAAGTCTCTTCACTGAAACGATGGGATTTATAAATGGTATAAACCAAACATATTCTGCTTTAGTCACTGTGTCTTAATAGTAAGGCAGGATAAATCTGGACTTTGTTTATTTGTTTTGAAGTCTTACAGTTTTCCTAATATCATTCTTTCCTTAAAAGTACTGAAATGAATTCAGTAGTCATTTCAAATAAATACATTCTCTCTATATAAAATCCTGCCTTTTAATATTAGCTATAAATTATATTGGGAGCTCAATTAACAAACAACTCTTAACAACACAGAATAAAGAAAAAAAGAGTGAAATGTTTAAAATTATAATAAGCAGTCATCTGAAGAGCATCAATTTTTTAAACATCATGCAATAACATACTGGTAAGGGGACTAGCAGTTGTCATAATGTCAATGTCGCTGGGGTCCCGTGTAGTCGACCACGGTTCAAATCCCAGACCTGGTGGCTTAAACTCACACCGGGTGCATGTGGGTGCGTGCCCAAGATCCCCAGAGGAGAATGGAGGAGAAGGGATTGTGGTGTGGCCATCCCTCCAGGGGGTGATTTCTTGCTGTCTGTCTTTTCCTCTCTGTCTTTCTGGCGAGCTCACATGCCCTATAGCAAAAATTTCTCCAAAATTATAATAATAATAACAACATGCCAGTAAGAATTTCTTGGAGTGTTGAGTTTTTTTTCTCTGTACAGAAAAAAATTGTATGTCAAATGCCCAAAACACCCATACTTTTTTGAATTGCTAAAATAGAAAGTAGAAATATCTAAAACACACTATGGGATGAGAAATATCAATAAAATTAGGTAAATTTGAGTTGAGTTCTTAGAAAGCAGAAGTGAAATGGTATACAGGGAACTAGAATTGTCAATTTTGGGTGAAAGGCAGCTGAGGGATACAAAGTTTCTCCAAATAGTTATTCACATCTCCAGTAAATCTTGAGTTACCTTCCAGCTAACATAGTTGGTCTTTTTGCTATGGCTGTTTTTATCAGGAGGCTTCAAATGAAGAAGAAAACAATGAAGATTCTAATGGAAATGAAGATGAAGACTCTGAGGCTGAGAACAGCACACTTTCCACTACGACGCTTGGCTATGGAGAGGAGATCACGCCTGGAACGGGGGACACAGGGTTAGCTGCAATCCAGCTTCCCAAGGAGGTAATAATTCTTCCAGAGTGAAAGCATTACTATCAATAATCACGGTAATGTTAAATCTGTTTTCATTTCTTTACTGAAATCTGAGCTTATCCTAACATGATACACACAGTATTTTATTCTATCTTCATAATTCATTGAAAAAGGGAGAACAGATACAATTTACTTGTTTAAAAATAAGGGAAGTTCTCCTCTCATATTACTACATGGACAAACATTTAGGGATAGATTAATGGTCCAGAGAGATACCATTGATTACAGGGAAGAGAATTTCAAGACTGAGACAGGGAGCAGTAGCAAAACTATATAGGAAGTACCTCCCCCAGAGAAGATTTAGTAGGCAAATTTTCTTTCATCAGAACTCATGATGAAGGTGTTCACTCTGGTAGCCAGCAGGACATAGTGGTTAAGGTGCTGAACTCTCACATGGCTGACTGTGGTTCGAGTCCCGGATATGGAAACTGAAAACTCACACTGTGCTCGTGTGGGTGTCCAGAATTTCAGGAGGAGAAAGGGATTGTGGTGTGGCCATCCACCCTGGTGTGTGTGAAGGGGTGATTTCTCATTTTTCTCTTTCACTGTCTCTCTCTGTTTCTCTGCCAAGTGCATGCACCCTATGGCAAAACCCTTTAAAAAAAAAAAAAAGATGTTTAAATGTTTACTCTGAATTTCTAAAATCCTCAACAATCCTTTTGTAAGTAAATTGGCTTCCATTGAACATTGTAACTAGAATATGGCTGTCAATGTGAAATATTGTGTTGGATAGAAGGCCTGAAGTTTCAAATTTCTCAACCCTTCATGTGCATCCTTTCAAATTTTCCTTTACAGGCTGGAGATAAAAGAAACAAGGCTACAAAACAGAAGGAAAGTGATGAAGAAGAGGAGGAAGAAGAGGAAGAAAATGAGAATGAAGAAAACGAAGCAGAGGTGGACGAAAATGAGCAAGGCATCAATGGTACCAGCACCAACAGCACAGAGGTAGATAACGGCAATGGCAGCAGTGGTGGGGACAACGGAGAAGAAGAAGGTGAAGAAGAAAGTGTCACTGGAGCCGTTGCAGAAGGAACCACAGTGACCAGAGGGCAGGACAATGGCGGCTCTAAGACAACGACCTCTTCCAATGGTGGGTTGGTTCCCACAACTCCACCACAGATTTACGGGACCACCTCCGTCAGTTATGAGGAGTACGAACACACAGGCACCAATCACTATGACAATGAATATGAGGTCTATGAAAATGAAAATGGGGAACCCCGTGGGGATAATTACCGAGCCTATGAGGATGAGTACAGCTACTACAAAGGGCAGGGCTACGGAGGCTATGGTGATCAGGACTATTACTATCACCAGTGAGGGCCCAACCTGGGATGAATTCATTCATTCTAGGGTTGCATCCGGCCACTCTTTTCAAAGTTCAACTCAGGAAGGTGCAATCTAACAAAGGTGTGTACTATAGTGTGGAAGGTGCTGCCATTCCAAAGTGATTTTCTGTCATTGCTTCTGCGAGTCATGGGCTTCTTGTTGCTTCTCCCTGGGATGTTATTGAAAGGTCATTGTAAATCAGGGCCATTTATTAAGTGATACACCAAGCCATGAGATCAAATATGGCTAAAAGTTTTGAGTTATAGTTCTACAAATCGTATTTCTCCTGTGTTTACACTATTGCTAACTGCAAAAACATCGTATAAGAACTGCTTCTAAGAGGAGATTCACTGACGTTAATGGCACTGTATACAATCAATGTGTAGTTCATTAATCATACTACCTACCCAACACTGTATATTAGATTTAATTATTATCCTCATGTATTTTTATGTGACTTGTATGTACATTCTATCTCTGCGTTTTATCACAAATAAAAATGCAGTCTCTCAAATGTGTTATAATTAAGAAAAGTAAGAGATTCAGAATGAGAAAAGGTGAAATAAATGGGGGACAGTTCAAATAAAGGAGAAAAGCTTGCTTCCACTGTGATTAAAAACTCAGAAGAATAAACATTTTCTCTTGGATAAATCAACATATTGAAGATGTTGCCATGCCTGTGGGCAGGGTCAGCTATGTCTATCAGAGGAATAAACAGCTTACATTAGAGTTCCCATATTTAACAAATACAAATACAGGATGTTATGTTAAATTTATTTCAAGTAAATATGAATGAATTTTATGATATACTACATATTAATAGCAGTTTACATCTTCCATAATAAATCTGAAAGCAAATTTCTAATAGGAATAGTGAAAGAAAGTAGGTAGTGGCGAGATGCCAGAGCAAAAATTCATTCATGTTTTTATATACTCATTGATCGTACTCACAGATGTACTAAATACCTAGAATAGAACCAGACAATATTTAGACACTGAACACATGAAAATGAAGAACTCTGTCCTCAGAGTGATTTTAGTCTGATAGCCGTAAGGCATTACAAGCAACAATTCATTGTCCCTAACATTTTGTACTGAAAAATATCAAGCTTTCAGAAAAGTTTTAAGACTTGTGCACAAGCACCCTTATTACACTTTTCTCCTAGATTTAAGCAATTTCTATTTCTGTGTGCCTTCTTCATATATATATTTTGATAAATCGTTGAAAAGGCCCTTACAGACATCATACTATCATGATGCTTCCCTCCTAAATACATGTAGTACAACAGCAAGTTCCCCTACATACCCACGATGCCATTATTCTCCAAGACTTAACATCGATACAATAACATTATCTAACATTAGTTCGTATTCTAATTTCCAATTATCCCAATAATGTCTTTTATTATGAACTCATTTAGTCTTCAAAAAAAACTTAATCAGATAGGTATTATCATCATCCTCAATGTTATTAATGAAGGTCCTGGGGCACAAATAAGTCCAAGTGGTAGAGATGGGACTAGAATAATGGCAGGTTGGCTTTGGGATATGCTCTCTTTATTGTTGCACAATATTAATTAGTGCACATTCTGGGGCCAGCAGGTGGCATGGTGGTTAGGATGCTGGACTCCCATGTGTCCAACCACAGTTCTAGTCCTGAACCTGGCAGCTTGCTTTCTTGCCCCCCCCATCTATCTCTGTCTCTCTCTCTGGTGAGTCCATGCATTCTATTGCAAATTAAAAAAATAATAATAATAAATAAAACAAAATAACTAATTCTAAAATAATTACTGTGGATTCATTAGTAGCTAATAGGCAGAAATCTCTAAGGATGAGCCTTGTCTTATATCACTGTTTTCTTAGAACAAGCCATGTTTTACCATTGTACTCCTAAAGAATATTTCCAAATCCAGGGACTTTGTACATTGCTTGTATTTCTTTGTATATAGGCAGTTTGGTGTTGTGTAAAAATTGCATAAGCTCTGAAGGCCAGAATAATGGAGTTTCGGAGAGTAAATTAACTCACTTCTAAGGATATAAGCTTTTATGCCCTCATCTTTTGTACGAGGATAGTATCCAGTGGGGTGCTGTTCAAAGTCTGATATGTTCTGAGGACTCAGCATTGTCACATCTAGCTTCTTCTCTCTCCTCATTTCCTCCCCTCGCCTCCCCTCTCCTCTCTTTCCTCTTCCTTCTACATCTTAACAGTCAGTGTACCCAATTGCAATCGAATTAACTGACCATAAAAGCAATCTCTGGCATATTTCTTCTTGTCCTAATGCATCTTTGTAGGGTGAAATGTTATGACAAAATCAAAGCTTTGGGACCAGCATGGCCAGTAGTATTCATTAGACAACATTAGTAGGCTTTATGATTTATCTTATTGTCACAAACTGTCTCAATATATTACAGAGTCACTCAGTAAGATCTGAAAATGAGCTTCAAAGCCTGTGAGGTTTACTTACATACTAATACTTGGAAGTCATTCATTTTGTAGGAGAAAGTCTGTCCTTTTCCTTATGAGTTCTTCCCAAAAGGTGGCATTTTAGCATGAGTGACTCCATTTTGTTCTGGTCTTTTAAGGCCTAGGGCAGGAGCTTAGTTCAAGATGATGGCTTCCTGCAATTTTTATTTTTACCTTCAAAGAGATAACTGAGGTGATTTTTACCCATGTCTTGTGTGATCCTGAGAGAGATTGAGCCCTGCGGCCCACAGCGGCGATCCATTTGCTGTTGGCCTTCTTCACCTTCTGCCTCACTGCCCTCACCTGGGCTTCCTGGAATTCCTTAATCAAAGCAACTAGATGAACCCAAATCCCTGTCTGAATATCTGCTTTTTAGAGAGCCTAATTTGAGGCCCTACTTCAAAATTACCTAAATTCAAAGCTGAAATTCAAGTACTTTACCCCATCTTTTCCTAAAAGAAGTTCCTATCATCACAACATGGTTCTATAATATACTCAAGCTAGGGATTTCACTTCACTTAACCTGGCCATATTGATTTATTTGCATAAATATTAGATGCCTTCCTGATTCTCTGGTGCTCCTCATCAGAACAAGAAAAAGGTAAGTGGTTATGACTTGTTGAATGGTCTGTGGGTGTTAGTATGGCCACAAGGCAGCTGTTCCTCATGGATGACTCTGTCCCACTTCCTGTGGCTAATTTATATCCTGTCCCCTCATTTTGAGTTCCTCTTAGTCCCTTCAACATGACACCTCAATCAATATCCTCCCCAGTTGGCAGCCCAAGTGCCCATATTTAATCTGTGGGAAGCACTGAATATCTCTCCTTTTTTACATTTAATTATTGTGGTACAGATTGTATCTCCTGCGTTATCATGGCTGACTATTTTGATTTTTCTACCATGGTTTCTTGTCTTAATAAAACCTGCCCCTTATAAAATAACATTTTTGACTTTTCCTGATAAGAGCTTCAAGAGTCTGTCAGTAGTCAAAAACAAATGTTGACTTTCTTTCATTTGCATTTTTCTATTGAAAAAAAAAATCCTCCTCCAGACAAAAGTAATCTCCTTAAATGATGAGGAGAACAAATAGTGGGTGTGTGAGAATGACAGAAAAGTGTAAATGTACTCTTTCGAAAAGGAAACTCTTAGGTCAAGAAATACCAGCCTCGCTTTAAGAAAAGAATCATCATTAATTAGAAGTAAACCATGAAGCAATCACTTGAACCTTTTGCCTGAGTATGATGTGGTAAATATTTTCTGCCCTTAGATCTTTAAAACACCCAGGTTAGAAACTCATTAACCTAATTTTTTGGTTAGAGAACAGAAGTTCCCAAGTAAATTACACTCTGTCATATCCTCTTCCTTCTCCGGAGGTTTTCTCTGGTAGTTCATAACTCCCAGGATCCAAGATACTAGATCTTCCTCAATGCATACAGAACTTGTCTTATTGCTTCTTAAAATGCAAATTCAACTCTTAATATTTTAAGCAGGAGCCAGTTAAATTTGACTGTAGAACAAGTTATCAAACTTTTTCTGTAAAGGAATATATAGTAAATTTTTTTGGCTTTGCAGGCCATACCGCCTGCCACAATTACTCAGCTCTGTCATTGCACTGAAAGCAACTATAGACAGTAGACTACGTCAACAGATGGACATGACTAGGTTCCAATAACACTTTACTTTAATAAAGTACTTTTGACAGTTCCTAGACCTTAAATATTATTTGGTAAATAATATTTTAAAACAATTATTTATTCTGCTAACTGTCTTTTGAAATCCTGTATCAGATTATTGAGTATGTCTCACCATTTAGCCAGCTGACGAAAAGCTTGATCTTGATTCTAGCTGAAGGGTAGTTGAGTAAAATTAACGGCACATCATAAACATTATTCATTCTGTGTAGAATGGGCTATCATCAAATCTAGTTCACCAACCTTTTGTTTTCATGAGAGAGACGAAGGTATTTTCAACCGCTGTCTCCAGATTGCTTTCCTCCTTCAGCCTCCCAGTTAGCTAGGATGACAGGTGCCTCCATGCCCAACGTGTTTAGGTTAGAGTGGAAACCTAACCCAGGCCTCTACGTGGCCTCCTGATGCAGCAGCACCCTCCCTCCTGAGCCATCATAGTTGGACCCACATCAAAATTTCTGAGAGTAGCATTCAGTGAATGCTGCCAGGGAATGTCTTGGGCACACTGTGATTTTACTAAATGGCAGCAGTGTTCTCTCTCATTCCCTAGGTTCTTCTGCTACATGACATTGCCACTTCTCATTCCATCAAGGTGCAGAGCTCTGCTCCATCTTGATCTGACTGCTCTGACCCATATGCAGATTATCTCTGGACACTCCTGGGTTAGTTTACAAAAGTTCCTAGCAATCTCTGCTTTCTGCTCTCCAGAACTTGGGACTTGTGAAATATAAGGGGAAAACTCTTCTGTGAAAGAATAGAGTAGAATAGAATGTAATTTTCATGGGAACTTTCATTCATATGACCAGTAAATCCAGTTAGTGAGTTTTACTGGTCCCGCAGGACCCACTTTAAGTCCCGAGCCACATGCAGAAAATCCAGCCTAATTTGCAAGGAGACAGAGGTGGTGCAGAGAAGCACTGGGGCGCCATCTTGGATTTGTCTCCCAGCCAGGTTTTCCAACAACTTTTGCACCAATCAAGCAATGAGAGATACCAAGTGAGCCACGAAGCCAAGCCAAATCGGCACACAAAATCTTGACAGAAAATAATAAATTGGTGTTTCAGACTACTAAGTCTTAAAATGGTACATTACATAGCAACAAATAACTGGAAGAGGAACTGATAAGTGGGAAAAAATCTGCATTTATGAGAATTGTGAAAGTCACAAAAGAAGAGCCAAAAGAAAGTAACACAATGCAGAAAAGCATAAAGTTCCAAGTGAAAAGCTAAGAAGACATGATATTCTCTAACTGGGTAAGAAAACGCTGAAACATGTCTAAGACAATAAATAACTAGCTGGTAAATGTCCTCATGTTCTCGCTCTTAAGAAGAAGATTCTTGGTCCTGAAAAACAAAACGGCCACCTCTGAAAAAGACTATT